TAATTTTTAATATTCCATTGGACATTTTTCTATCCAGCTGAAAGTGAACCATTATCAATTCTGATGTTATGTAGTGCTGTGTATAATTAGTAACTGTTTTGGTCTCGTTTACCTTGTAAATCTGAAATTTGTCAATAATGTTGTGTGTGTGTGGCTCTTTGATCAAACACTGCCACCAGCAGTCTGTATGTTAATCAATAGCAACAAATTTAATACAGCTTGCATTTTGTTACTCTATGTTGGTCTCATCCTTACGTGCACAAGACTTTAAAAGTTCAGCATAGTAAATGTTTTATTGAAATTCTAAAACTGCTATGGGATCGAACATACGATTAGCTCAGTATAAACACAGTTATACCATATATGCATGGAAACAAAAGTAGTTTAGTATCTATTGACATTGACTGTATATGTCAGGCCATAGTGGTAAATGCTTTTAAAGTTGTAGAGTCATTTCGTTTTTCTTTCAGTTCTCAAGCCACTTAGTTTTTAATAACACACTGACCCCTGTCAGATAACCAAGACGGATATTTATTTTAGACATGTAAAAATAATCACTGAAAATAAAGTCCTCATAAGTACAGTTAGTTCCACTTTATATTAGGTGTCTTTAACTACTATGTACTTGCATCAAAAGTCATGAATGGTTTGGTACAATGTACTTATGTTCATGTTGAATTGCAAAACACTTTAGCTGCTATTGAGGTGGAATACAGTTAAAGTTTGGGGCATGGTTAGGGTGGGTTAGTGGTTAGCGGTGTAATTATAGGTGTAACTACAGAAAGGTGTTTTTAAATGTAAGTACAATGTGAAAACTTGTATGCACACAATAAGTGCATTGTATCAAATGATTAATTTAAAAGTACATAGTAGTTAGAGACACTTAATATAAAGTGGGTCCTTACAATTTAACCAAGTGGTTTTCATCTGGTTTTGTAATTGGACAGCACCGCAATTATTTATCAAACAAAAATAAATATTGCAATGAGCTTCACAGGCCCAACAATATGCTAAATGATCAACATGACTGTCTGAATAAGGAAATTGACATTGGTTTAGTAATAGTCAATAGTTTCATATTCTCAGCACAAAACATACTGTGGTTGACAAACTTATCCTCATTTCAAATGAACCTGTATTTAATGTCATCTGGGTTGTATTTTGGTATATTGTGTAGTTTTGTTGATGGTTTGTGAGGATGAGGGCATGTTGAGGTCTAATTTGACTACAGTATAACAAAAGATATGAGAAGGGTTTGCTCTTCCCCTTTGAAAGTTCCTACATCTGTGTGCTCTGCTAACATAGCTCTACGTGACTGTAGTTTGTTATTTGCACTTGTTCTTGTGATTCCTTGCTGTCTGTCTTCACTGAGCCATCAGCGGAGAAGAACTGGTGTAGCATGCATGAAAAAGCCCAAGTGTTCACGCAGCAGCAAGCTTTGGGCTTTCCTTTGCAACCAGCGCAGAATGAAGGCCTTCGTCTTTAGACATGGCTAGCGACGGCGGTGAGCCGAGAGTGAGCGTGGATGGAGGCCGACCGCTTCTTTCATGCACTGGAGCGTACCTCTTACTGAAGCACTTCCAGCACTGCTTCGATATGATATACATCATCTCCACCACATTCAGTGCAATGCACAGGATAGACGTACAGCCCATGATATAAAGGAAGATTTTCTTCTCTGTGGCTTTTGCGATGTAGCAGTCCACCGTGTTGGGACAGGGGCTCTCGTTGCACCGGAGCAAGCGGGGAACGTGGAAGCCGCTGTACAGGAAGAAGAAAGCCAGCAGAGTGGCCACCTCGAAGGACGTCTTGAGGATGAGGCTCATGATGTAGGTGAAGAACAGCCCTCCGTCGATGCTGCCTTTATCCTGGTACAGCTTCCTCTTGTACTTGCTCTCTCTGTGCTCCCTGTAAGCCACATGCAGAGCCACCAGCAGCGACGGGGTGGACACCATGATCAGCTGAATGGCCCATAACCGCACTTGAGAGATGGGGAAGAAGCGGTCGAAGCAAACCTGCTCGCAGCCCGGCTGCTGTGTGTTGCAGACGAAGTCTTTGAACTCGTCCTTCCACACCTGCTCGGCGGCGGCGACGTACACCAGGATGCGAAACACGAAGAGGATGGAGAGCCAGACCCGCCCGACGACAGTCGAGTACTTGTTTACCCCGCTTAACACATTCTCCAGGAATCCCCAGTTCATGTTTCATCGGGCTGCTGCGGGAGTCAGAAGAAAACCAAGAGTTAAATGCCTTGTAGCATATGTATACTCCTAAAAATAAAGGGTTTCCTTTATAGAGGCTGTTTATTATAGTGGAAAAAGGTTATTTCGATCAGTGGTTCGCAACCACTGACATTTTGCATGTTTACTTAATCAAACACACCCGTTTCTGCTCTTGGATTCTCCACTAAGAAAAACTGGTAACCTGAATCGAGTGTTTGATTAAGGAGACACTGTGCAAAATGTGCAGCGTTGAGGGCTCCAGGCTTTAGATGATTAAAATGTTGTTCACAGTAAGAAAAAATGGTTCTTTTAAAGACTGAAAGCTTCTCTGGGGAACCGAAATGGTTTCTTCTGTGGCATCGCTATGAAAACCTTCTTTTGGAGCCTTTATTTTTAAGAGCGTAACATTGACATGCTGGATGTTTAATGTAACGTTCACTTAAAGGAACGCCACTATTTTTGAAAATAGGCTCATTTTCCAACTCCCCTAGAGTTAAACAGTAGAGTTTTACCATTTTCGAATCATCATTTGAGCGAGATGCTAACGGTCTAATCAGATTCAATGATCTATGCTAAGCTGCAGCTAAAAGTGCTACCGCCAGACCCGGAGATCGACTGAATGGATTCGAGCACAGTACAACTCAACTTAGTGCTGGGCGGTATACCGGTTCATACCGAATACCGGTGTCGTGTTTAAGCAGTGGCACTCTTTAGACTGGTATACTTATAATCCATAATCATCTATCAAGATCTTTTTCAGAGCATTCTCAAATCTATATTTCAGAATCAGAATGAGCTTTATTGTCAAGTGTGCACAAACACATGAAGATCTGTTTTTGTGAGACACTTCTCTTAAGAAAGGCAAAGAAATGTTAAGTATTTACCTTTCATGTAGTCTGATTCCCTTCTGCTCGGCGTGGTCTCTGGCTGCTGCTGACAGACTGGAAATGCACCGAGAGCAGCGTCTCTCTGCTATTTGATAGTCAAACACACCTGGTGGAAGTGCCACACCTGTTTGGTTACTATGGCAGGACTCCTATGTCACTGGAAACGCTCTGCTCTGAACCGGCTGACAGGACGGTGTTTTGGTGTGTTTGCTGATTGCACGAGGTGTTGTGAGCCTCATAGCCTGTAGTGTTAGCAGTGTAAACAGTCGTGCATGTTGAGTTCGGTGGAAACGGCTCCGATGCACCCACTCGTGCCCTTGACAGACGCATACAGTCTCCATGGTCACGGATGAACAGCAGACACTCCATACACAAACCCTCAGCCAATGCTGCCAGTCTGCATGTTCAGTTTTCATGGAAAACCATGTCAGGAGAATCACATTTTGATATACTTGTGAAAACGTTCTGTAAGTCAGACCTTCCTGTGCTGTGGGTTTGTCTTTGGCAGTAGCTCTGATGCAGATTACTGAGGGTTACTGTAGACATATGCAAGTAAACCTGTAGATGTGTGTAACCCAATAGGTTATGTATGCAGTTTTAATGACAAACTGCAGGCTGTTTGTGCGTGTGCATGAATTACTGATGAGCTCAGCGGCACTGATAGTGTTACCAGCAGAGTCTGCTGTGAAACACCTTCATTCGTGATTGCTACAGGTGTTAAAAGTAAAAAAAATAAAAAATCAGTTTACTTTGTGTGCCTGTTTTTATTGTGAACGATTCATCAGTGTGCATTATTCTAGAGAAAATCATGGTTGTTTTCATAATCTTTCATCAAGCTCCACCTCAGATGTCATCAGTCCGTCATATAGAGACACTTGCATGTATATTGTTCATTTATGTTCAGATTTTTTAATGACAAACCTCTTGAGATGTACTGGCTCACTACAAAGGAAATGCAATGATCAATTCATCAATGAACAGGCTGATAATAAAAAGAAAACCCCATTGGTATTAATGAAAACACTGCAGCACAAAACGGCCAGTTTCTGGTGATGAATAAACAATAGACTCGAGGTATAAACAGTGCCGGCCTCACTGACAGAACACACTTAAACACGGCAGCTGATGAAACAGATCTAATATCATCAGGAAAATAATCCAGTCTACTGGGGCTTTAAACATAAAAGCTCTCGTCAGTTGTTTTCTTTAAATTAGAGATGAGCAAGATGCTTAACTCAGTCATTTGAACTGTGAGGAACAAAGTACTGCTGTAAAAAAGAAGGATCAAGAAAACGAATGCATTTAAATATAAATTGAACCAATGAATGTGTCTTATTATTACAAGCAGAACTGGACATCTTAAGGGCACCACACACTATACAGTAATGACTGAGAAAAGCACCTCTCATCTGCAGTCTACTATATGCTGTTAAAGGAGAAGTTCACCCCAAAATGAAGATGTGCTCACTCTCAGTCCATCTGAGATCAGGATGAGTGTGTTTCTTCATCAGGTTTGGAGAAATGTAGCACTGCATCAGTGTCTCAGCAATGGATGCTCTGCAGTGAATGGGTGCCGTCAGAATGAGAGTCCAAACGATGCTGGATGTGTTTCAGCTTTTGTCTTCTCCAGATGTTAACTGATGGACTGGAGTGCTGTGGATTATTGTGATGTGTTTATCAGCTGTTTGGACTCTCATTCTGACGGCACCCATTCACTGCAGAGCTTCCATTGCTGAGACACTGATGCAGTGATACATTTCTCCAAACCTGATGAAGAAACACACTCACCCTGATCTCGGATGAACTGAGGGTGAGCACATTTTAATTTGTGGGGTTGTTCTAATGTAGACAGATAGGCTATATAAAGCCATTCATTTGTGGGGTTGTTCTAATGTAGACAGATAGGCTATATAAAGCCATGCTATTGATTAGCGAAAGGCCGCATCAGTCCGGCTCTGTGCTCTTTCTGATCAGCGTTTTCTCCGAGACTGTGCGCTGAACAGCAGACACTAGAGGGCCCTGTGGTGTCTGTCTGTTCTTGCGTCCTCCTGGAGGTCAGACTGACGCATGCGCATGCAGGAGTTCCGCGTGCGCTGGATAATATCTGAGCAGCAGCTCGTGTGTTGACAGCAGCAGCAGCAGCAGGATGAGCTCCGCGCAGGACGGGGGCAGAGGAGGCGTGCAGCAGCCGGCTAGCAGCTCCGCGGACTCGGGCTCGGGCTCCAGGAGTCCCGGCCTCCGGGGCGTCAGAAGCACCTCACTGTTCCGCGCGGTCAACCCGGAGCTCTTCATCAAACCTGCAAGTGCTCTTCATGGCTTTACACTCATATAAATCACACATGAGCTGATGACTCCAGCTGCACGAGCGTTCACCGCGGAAGCGTGTTGTAGTGTTGCTCTTTGAACGCATGCGTAAGAGCGTCGCGTCGCGTCGCACGAGCGTCACAGTGTTTACCAGCAGCACGAGCGTTGCGTTTTTAAAGAGGCCGTGTAAAGATAAAACAGCCGTTAATAAAAGAAATGTCATGTTAGTTCAGAGTGCATCAATAACTTTTGATCCTAAATGCATGAGTAAATATTATACATGTAATGCATGCAACATTCAGTAGCAAAGAATAAAAGAAAAACATTTACATAACATTTTCAATCTGAACATTTGAATAAAAACCCATCCCTGCGTCATAAAAGTGCTCAGAGTTGAAGAGAGTGTCATAAATATAGTCCTGAAAGCTGAAGAAGTTTGATATGCCACACCTGGTTAAACACTGTGATATCTGAAATGCGATACAATATTGCTTTCTAAGTGTGTGAAATCCAGTTATATAACCAGTGTATATGTTTCACATCCACTACAGCTTCTGAACCGGACTAGCCGTGTGTACATTACTGCATTACATTAAAAACAGTGTCACAAATCTGAAAATGTCATTTTAACATCAATGTAAAAAATAATAATAATGCCAATATTTAAATACCAAAAACTCTTTGCTCCGCTTGGTAATATCTAGTTATATCAAGAGCAGTGATGGGCAAGCTTGGCTCTTCCCGGCCGCTTTCCTGCAGAGATTTGATCCGACCCGGATAAGCTCAGCTGCCTGTAGCTTCTAGTAGTCTTGAAGACAATGATGAGCTGGTTCAGGTGTGTTTGATCAGAGCTGGAGCTAAACTCTGAAGGAAAGAGCCAGGTTTGTCCAGCCCCGGTCAGGATCATCCAGGTAAACCAACACACCTGAACCTAGGGGCGAACGATTAGTTAATAAAAGTAAGAACTACAAGCAGTAGGACAAATACAAGAAAACAAAGACACAAGTGAAATAAACAGTTTGAAGTCTTTCAGGCAGGCTTATGTTAGAGTTATTTAACAGTACACTGAAAGGTACTGTTAAAAAAAAAGGTTTACAGTATTATTACTGTAATTGCATTTACAGTACAATGTCTTTACTGCATTTTCATTTACAGTATCAGTACTGTAGAGTTTATTTTCATTTAGTTTAAACATTGTTTTACCTGTAAAAACAATCCAACTGTGGTACTGCGCTGCAAACCGTGATTTTTACCGTCTCTTCTGCTCACCGAGCCTGCATTTATTTGATCCAAAATACAGCAAAAGCAGGAATATTGTGAAATTTTACTACTTAAAATAACAGCTGTTTTCTGTGTGAATCTCTGTTAAACTGTAATGTATTTCTGTGATGTGCAGCTGTATTTTCAGCATCATTCCTCCAGTCTTCAGTGTCACATGATCTTCAGAAATCAGTATAATATGCTGATGAACATTTTTTTATATTATTATCAATATTTAAAACAGTCGAGTACATTTCTTCAGGATTCTTTGATGAACAGAAAGATCCTAAGATCAGCATTTATCTGAAATAAAAAGCTTGTGTAACATTATACACTATACCATTCAGAAGCTTGGAGTCAGTATAATTCTTTTCTTTGGGAAAGAAATCATAGAAATTAACACTTGTATTTAGCAATGATGTTTTAAATTGATCAAAAGTTATAAGGCATTTATCATGTTACAAAAGATTTCTATTTCAGATAAATGCTGTTCTTCTGAACTTTCTGTTCATCAAAGAAACCTGAAAAAATTCTACTCGGCTGTTTTCAACATAATAATAAATTATTTTTGAGCAGCAAATCAGAGTATCAGAATGATTTCTGAAGGATCATGTGACTGGAGTAATGATGCTAAAGCTCTGCTTTGATCTCAGGAATAAATTGCATTTTAAAATATTTTCAAATACAAAAGAGTTATTTTAAATAGTAAAATTATTTCAAAATGTTACTGTTCTTGCTGTATTTTGGATCAAATAAATGCAGGCTTGGTGAGCAGAAGATAATTCTTTAAGAAACATTAAACATCTTTCTGTTCAATAGCTTTTGACTGGTCGTGTAAATAAAATACAGTAAAAATGAGTTTGTGGTGTTGTTAAATGTCAGTGATTTTGACAGTAGCAGCTGACGAGCTCTCCGATGAGAAACAGCAGCGTGGGATTCTGAAACGTGCAGTGCTCGTGTTTATTCAGCATGTGCTAGCATGTTTAAAAAGTCGACCTGTTCTGTGAGTTAGTGGAGAACAGCAGCTAGAGGCTCATTTAGAGACATTAGAGTTAGTTAAGCTGATGAAGCTCAGCTGCTGTTAGCACCGCTACGAGGCAGTCACAAGACTCCAACAGACATGACCACACACTTCACAATCAAACACAAAAGATGTTCTTAACAGAGTTTCTTCACTCAGTGTTCCTCAGTAGGTTGTTAGCTCGCTGTTCTGTCAGTCTGTCACTGAATTTAGGGACCGTCTCTAAAGTTACATACCACATTGCTACACACTTTCTGACTTAAATAGCGTTTGAAGAGAATGACCTTACTTGTGATAAAGAGGCAGAGTAGAGAAGATAGCTTACTATGCTTCTCTTTGTTCAGCTAAGTTAGTTAACTTCGGCTAACTGACATTATTAGCTTAGCAGCTGATGTTATCGTCGATACTATCTGTGAGGTTCACAAGAAGAGGATCCAAAATACACCTCCGACGTTGCAGACTACATCCAGACTAGAAATCTGAAAATAACAAACGAAAGAAGCACTAGAAAATACAGTTTAAATCTCCACTGAAACAGTGATGTTGCCTAACGCACTGTACCTCAGTATTTCAGGTTAATTCACTGTAAGGTTTAATAAGGACTCGCCAGAGGAGCTAGCTTGCATTAAAGGGCAGCAGGACGTACAAACGTGTTTCTCGGTTTAACTAAGCTTTATTTCGTCTAATATAGCTGACCTTAACTTACTCCGCAGTCGATCAGCCTTCAGAAAAAAAGGCTTCAGCTCCCGATATGAAAAATGACACGATGAATAATGTTAGTTTGCTGTTAACAAGTGAAAACATCTTATAATATCGCAGTTTTGCATAAAACAGAAATAATATACTAACCTTTTGTCGAGTTAAGGTGCATTTCTCTTTTGTCCTTTTACGGCCACTAATCATCATAAATTGATTTACAGTAGTGAGGAAATACAGAAATATAAAATATATTTTCCCATAATCCTTTGTGGTTTACAGTAAAATACTGTATACACATTTTACAGTATCTTACTGTTCGAATGACAAAAATCCGTTACCGTGTAGCATTCAATACAGCAACTCAATCATCAAAACTAAAACACTGCATAGACTTCACACGAATTAAATACAGCCTGCACTGATTAATAATAGCGCTACAAATGTAAGTGAGTGAAGAGCAGTGGGTGATGTTGTCTGACAGACAGCTGCAGCTTTACTGTATTAGGCTGCTGGGATCCTATTGCTCCCAATCTGATTTCTTTGTTTACACGAATACGTGTCAAGACATAACTGTGTGTGTGTTTGACCGTGCAAGTGTAAAGCGCGAAAGAAGAAAACTGTAGGGATCACACGCTGTCCGAGAGGTGCTTCAGGTGTGTGTCAGACAGCAGACAGCTATGTATGGCACTTAATAACTCTCTTTAACGGCAAGCAAGTCCGGTAAGTAGCAGTCGCGGGCCCAGTCTGTTCTGTGCTGCGTGCATCGACCATAAACATTTTGAAGTAGCCTATTATTAAAATAATTCAGATATCGCATGCCGATATGTTCATTAGTGATATTTTCGATATATAGTGCAGGTGTAATCCTGAGCCGGGCTCGCAGTGCTGACACACATCTCCGTGCCTCCCTCAGAATAAGCCGGTGATGGCTGTGGGTCTGCTGAGCCTCACGCTGTGTGTGGGGTACCTGGGCTATCTGCATGCGGTCAGAGACAACCAGCAGCAGCTGTACGAGGCTGTGGACAGCCAGGGAGAGAGACACATGAGGAGGAAGAGCTCCAGATGGGACTGACTGACCAGACCACTCCAGCAGCAGCAGCAGCAGCAGCAGCTTCACTTGATTGTGTTTAAGTGATACACCTGATCTGGTCACGTCAGTGGAAGTGTTGCTCTTCCTCTGGTTCATGCAGCATGGCTTTACACACTGACTTGGTCTCATAATCCTCTTAATTACTAACCAACACTAGGTGCCATACATACTGGTTTGGGTAGAGTTGAATGATACAGCTGGGTTAATATGCAACACTATGGCTTATTGGGGGAAAACTGCCAAGTTAATTACATTCACCTGATCAATGGGCCGTAACGTTGTAACACAGTGAAAGCTTTAAACATGATTTTAGAATATGCACATCTGTTAAGTGGAGTAAATTAGTCTGAAATTAGCATATTTATGTATTGGGGTCAATGACAAATAAAATCATTCATTTTTGAAAATCTTTCCAAATGAATGTAATGCTTTTTTCGTGTGTGTGTGTTTCATTTGTTGAATAACATTTCAAAGTGTTTGAATTCAGTTTTGTCAGGTGAGTGTCGACCGAATATTTATAAATCTATATTTGTATTTCTGAGGGAAATCTTAGCAGAGCAACTGTTAAGAGTGTCTACGGTGCCTAATGCATTATTATTTTGTGGTTGTGTATTTTATTCATCCTCATTTAGAATTATTGCATTGTAATGGCTGGGTGTTTAGTATCTTCGGCATTTGATTTTACTTTTAAAGACTTTTAAAGAAAATAATGACACAGCACATAAATGCATTTAATACAGACCTGTTATTCGTTTGTTTAAATGAAGAACTGACAGGGTTGCACTACCTGACAACATTAATAATTACAGGAAATATACGAAACACTGTTTTTTTTGTTTTACATAAAAAATGCAAGTGTTTAGTCAACGGCCTCTGCTGAAGTAAAAGCAGTACACTGAGCAGAAACAGATTGATTAGACACACTGTGATCAGATGTGATTGAATAACAACAAAGCTATGTTTTATATTGATGCAAAAAAAATATCAAAAATGCATTTATCAGGATTTTCAAGCATTAAATGCATAGCAACTGGAACACTCATAGCTAAACCGAGCTGGATCCGGGATTTAACAGCAGTGTAGTGGTTGACCAAACATTTCCCCTTCCTTTCCTCTGATGACTAAACATGAGAATAAACTTCCATATTCCATCATTTATACTAATATGGTTATATTTATTTTATTGGCATATATAACACTTATCTGTATAAATTATAAAACACTGACAAGGTGATGTTTAATTTATTATATATACAGTATATCACATATATCATGGTTTGATATGTCTTTCAGTATCAGCTGCACTGTTCTGTCGTGGCGTGCTGTGTACATTCCCTTGTAAGCACGGCAGCCGTTCAGGACATGTGGCAGTGTTTCAGTGATCTGTTCTGTAGTGTGATGCAGACAGTGAGGAACCTGAGCTGGAGGAAACCAGATAGAGAGGTTGAGTCTAGTAGGAAGAACTTGTAATCTGGCCTTTACTGTGAAAATGGCAATGTCCTCACTGAGTGCAGTATTCTTGATATGTTAATGATGAAGCGCTAATATAAGTAATAAATAAGGTCACATTATTATTCTAATATGGTTATATTTATTTTATTGGCATATATAACTCTTATCTGTATAAATTATAAAACACTGACAAGGTGATGTTTAATTTATTATATATACAGTATATCACATATATCATGGTTTGATATGTCTTTCAGTATCAGCTGCACTGTTCTGTCGTGGCGTGCTGTGTACATTCCCTTGTAAGCACGGCAGCCGTTCAGGACATGTGGCAGTGTTTCAGTGATCTGTTCTGTAGTGTGATGCAGACAGTGAGGAACCTGAGCTGGAGGAAACCAGATAGAAAGGTTGAGTCTAGTAGGAAGAACTTGTAATCTGG